GGAGGAGGAGGAGGGAGGAGGAGGAGGAGGAGGAGGAGGAGGAGGAGGAGGAGGAGGAGGAGGAGGAGGAGGAAGAGGAGGAGGTGGAGTGATGCGAGGCGCTTCCTCTTCAAAACGACGACACAGCACCTCAGGATGGTTGGGAATGAGAGGAGGAGGGAGGGAGGAGGAGGAGGAGGAGGAGGAGGAGGAGGAGGAGGAGGAGGAGGATGAGAATGAACGCGGGGCGTTGTCTCTTCAAAACGAGGCCCCAACACCACATGATGGTTGGGAATGATGCTGCTGCTGCTGCTTCTGCTGCTGCTGCTGATGATGATGCTGGTGATGCTGCTGCTGCTGCTGCTGATGATGATGATGATGATGATGATGATGATGGTGATGGTGATGGTGATGGTGAAGGTGATGGTGAGTGATGGTGATGCTGATGGTGATGCTGATGATGCTGATGATGACGCTGCTGCTGATGATGATGATGCTGCTGCTGCTGATGATGCTGATGATGATGATGATGATTATGATGTTGATGATGATGATAGGAGGGTGGAGGGGGAGGAGGAGGAGAGGAGAGGAGGAGGAGAGGAACGCGGGGCACTGTCTCTTCAAAACGAGGACCTAACACCACAGGATGGTCGGGGGAAACTGCGGGGACGAATGATAATGGTAATATTATGATGTGGCCGCCCCTGGTAAGGCCTCATGTATGAAGAAAGTGCCAGATAGGTCAAACATAGGTTTAAAATAACTTCGTGCATATCGTTAAAAATAGGTACGCCCAGCCCGCCCGCTCGCCCTTCAAGAAGGCGAGGGGCCCACGCGCGAGACAAATCATGTTACAAAGTAAGTCGTTTAGCCACCTGCAGTATTTCGTTATACTTGGCCTCGTTCTAAACGTTGCCCCGATGTGTCTACTCCTTCGTCCCATTAGCAATATGCGCGCTCTTCGGTGATTCCATTCAGGTCACCTCGTTGTACCCCCCCCCCCGCAAATCTTACTTCCCCACCTCATTATCACCTGCTTTCCCCCGTAAGAAACCGCCGGTGTCCGACGTTGCTTTGGGAGGAGGGGGGAGGAGGAGTGCGAGTGCGATTTTGGCAGTATGACAGAGAGTCGGATACGCGACGCCCGCGCAGGACGGTCGTTGCGCGCAGGCCACATGTGCAAACAAGTTATGGCCTGGATTGCTTGTGTTTGTTCGTTGGTCCCAGGGCCTGTTAAAGCCTGACCTGGGCAAAGTGAAACATGATTCGACAGTGCGGCGCTATATGTATTTCAAGCGCCGCCACATGCATTTCTGACAACAGTAGCGCGTAGTGCTTCGAAATCGCAAAACGTAATTCCCATGGCCACGTTTACACGTCCCCCCCATGTATAATGAGTCGTGCCCAAGCTTCGAACATAGGACATCCCACGCACCCCATGTTTGAGAGGGCACGCGCGACGCAAAACCTTCAAACGCCAATGCAAAATTGAGTTTCGCCTAGAGACAGTCCTTACAATTCCGCGCCTCGCCCAGAGCTTACTATGTCTGCGACTCCCGTTGCTGCATCACGATGCTGCGCCTCGCCGAACGACGTTCCAGGCCAACTAACGTGGGCCAAGCTGCAATGTTGCGCCTTGCCGAGAGACCCCCAGCACAGTGCGGTCGACGCCCCAAAAATGCCTCTCCCATATCTCCCAATAATCATTCGCCGCGTCTGTACATTTTCGCGGAACGGTGACCCACCCCACGCCCCCTTTGTTCACCCTGCACACCATCCCGTCCTTAGCCATTTTGGCTCGAGAGGTTCTGGCCCCGCGCTCTGGGAACATGATAGCCCTTCATGTTCATTCATATATGTCCATAGTCTTCATAATGTGGGCTGCCGTGGCAGCGACAGTCGCACTGGAGCCCGAACCGCCCGAAGAGGACCCGTGGGGCTCGGTGGCGGCCATCGACGCAGCCAGCTTGGCCCCAGCAGATGCATCAGCCGCCGCCGAGCCGAACATGTTGTTGAATGCGCTGGACGACACTCTGGCACCCCAGCCGACACAGAACAGATCGAGAACAGGTCGTCCAGCGTCGTGGGTGCGTTCCGTATCAGATGATTTGGATTCACAATCAGTGGAGTTGGACTCGCCACCAAGGCCCACGGAGTCTGATTCTCATGCGCCCGCGGCAGAACTGGTGACCAGACACACGGGTGTGATCGTGAGGGACTGGGATAAGAGCATGCCAGTTTCTGTTGTATCCCTTGCGCCGCCCAGCCCATTATCACTTCACCTTGAGTCGTGCGTCGCAATGGGGATGTCACCTGGTGCTGTGCAGCGTCCTATCATCCTGGATGTGGCTCGACATTGGTGCATGTCCTCTGGGCTCGTGCTGAACTGGTCTCAGATCGCCAGGCAGACAGGCCACGACCGCCAGGTCCTGCAGAAAGCGCTTCACCGCTTTGCTGAGGCGTATTTCTTGTGCCAGGTTCAGTTGCGGAAGAAGCTCGAGGGCGCCCTGGTGGAGTCGCTCGGCAGAGAACGGTGCCTGCTGTACGTCGACACGTCACGCTACGACGAGACCCCCATGAAGACGACGCTGAGGGGAGATGCTGCTGCAGGATCCGCAAGTGATGTCAATCTCCACGCTCTTGTCCCCCTGCCGTTTGGCAGGGCACTGCGGCTCATGCACGCCCTCGCTGCTCACGAACGAAGTGCTGCGATGGTCACGAAGCTCATGCAGATTAACCAAGCAGTGTGGTTGCTCGTCAATGTTGGCGATATCCCAGTGCGGCTGTATCTGAATACGGTGTGCCCCCTGCAGCCGGTGGAGTCGACGGCTGCGCCAGTGTGCAAGAGAGCAGTGCTACGGAGTTGCGCGGTGTCCACATACAGCGACGGCTTCAAACAACGGATGCGCTTCTGCTGCTCTGACTCTGCGAAGCCCAACATCGTCGTGGAGAACAGCATCGCGTCTGACCGACATGGATGGGAGTCCCTGCACTTGTTCTGCGAAGTTCACGTGACAGCAGGTATCCACAGCAAGACGTTTGAGAGTCTCATGCCTCGCACGATTTCGTCTGTGATTCACGCATCCCTTTCCTTGCAGCTCAGCGGCTATTTGAATCATTTTAGGAAGTGCTTGAGGCACGTGATCAAGTCCAGGATCAAGCTCGTCCCCGAGGGGCTGCCAGATGACGCTGTTAAGTACAAGAGATCTGTCATCAAGATGTTTTTTCGAGACTGGCCCTGACAGGGAGGTGAAGAAAGTAGTTGTCGCTTGCCTTCCACGCGGCGACTGGAGGAATCGAGATTACGTCGAGGTATGCGTGCCGCACGGGCTTGTGACCGACATCGACGTAGCTGCAGTGGCAAGCGTCATCGAGAACGGTCTCAGTTTCGCCCTGGTGAGCGCGAAGCCTAGCGTGTGGCCGAGACATCGGTGGACGGGCCCAGAGATCGCAATTGATTTTTGGGGGCGCCTCGAAGCAATACACGGGCTGGCGTCTGCGACGTATCCTTTGTTTTCTCGAACCCTCGGCGAAGAATTACCTCCCGCGGGCCCTATTGGCGGGGCGGTGGGCGCCGATGGTGCTGCTGGTGTGTTGGACGACGGCGGGGTCGATGATGTCGCGCACGTCCATCGCGGGCCAGATGCGGAGGTACCCGCCGACGCTGCTCCAGCTGACCGACATGAGGTCGTCGACAACACTGGCCGCGCTGACTCGGAGCCGAGCTTCGCAGAGAAGAACGCCAAGGACAGGAAGTTGACGCTCGAATGGTTGTCCAGAGATCCCTTGCCTGACCTGATGTTGTTGAGGTGCGCGCTCAATCCCATCATGCGCATGCTCCGCGACCAGCTGGACATGGCTAGCCTGCGCTGGGGGCTCAGCCAGAGGGCGGCCGTGGCGAGGTCGCATCAGATGGGACGCCTTCCAGGACTAGGCGCTAGGGACTACAGGATCGTCACCGCGTGCGAGCTCATACTGGAGGAAAATTTCTTCAAAGAGCTCCAGGCGATCTGGCTTGGGCCGCATCACTGGCGTTCGTTTCCAGAGAGGTGCTACACAGAGGAGTTCAACTGTCTGGCGTTCCGCCTGCTCGCGCGGGAAGGCGCGCTGGTGGAGCAGCTCCACGTGTCGAACCACTCCCTCTTCCACTTCAGAGTCTTCGGGCTGCTCGTGGATAGCAGCAGGGCGCAGTCGTTGAACCGAACCCCAGACTGTATGAAGGGGCCGTGGGGTAAAGATTTGTGCGCCCGCTTCCCTGACTTGGTTGGCCAGGACCTCTGGGAGGTGCTGCTCACCCTCGCCATGCTCATTCAGGTGGACATCACCTGCGTGGAGGCGAAGCACGCTGCCGTCCGACGCCAGCTGGAGCAGAGGTCAACCCACACACACACGCTCAACATCGAGGACGCCTCCGCCGAGTGGCTGATGCAGCAGGCTCGCACTCTTCAGAGGACGCGACCTTGGTCTGGCCAGCACCGCCATGAGACCAGTGCGAGCGAGCAGGACAGGGATGCGAGAATCGGGCGCTCAGGGGGCGTCAGGTCGAGGGTTAGCGCGAAGTTATGTTTGCGGACGGGGGAGGGGTGAGTGACACGCGCAATTCTGAGTCCGAACGACGGTGCGCAATGTTTGGGGTGGTGGTGGGGGGGAGCGGCGGGGGCGTGAAGATAACTTATCTGACGGCCTCCCCATCTCGCCAGCCTGGGTTGTGGGTCGGAAGCCTGTCTGTTGGGTGCTCGTTGGGATGTCGCGCGAGGCCTCTCGGTTGGTGACAAGTTTGAAGCCTCTTGGGGGCCGTTCTGGGGTTTCTGAAGGCGTCTTCGGGGCCTCCTGGGGATCTGTTGGGGCTTCTCGGGGGGGCTCTCGGGGCCTCCGTGATGCCTCATGGGGGCCTCTTGGGGCGGGGGCTCGGATTTTCGGTTCGTGTTCCCCCTCTCTGGGCCCTCCGTGGGGTTGTCTTTAAACCCTCTGGGGTCGTCTTGGGCGCCTCTGGAGCCGCCTTGGAGCCTGATTTGGGTAGTGCTGGGGTCCGCCTGGGGGGCCTCGTGGGCCGTCTTGAGGCGGTCCTGAGGACACCTTGGACAGTCGTGGAGCGTCGGGAGCTGGAATAATCGACGCCCAGAGCATTGAAACACACGTGGAATATGCATTATGTTGGTATCTCAAGGCCCTCTTGGCTCTTGGGGCCCTGTTTGGGCGTCTCGGAGGCCTCTTGGGCCATCTTGAGGCCATCTTGAGCGTCTTGGGGCGATCGTCGGGCGACCTGGGTTCTTCCAGGGCCGTCTCGAGGGCAGCGCGATGCCCTCCCGCCCCATATCGGGCATTCCACCAGGCCCAACAGAATCGCGCGAGACGCTGCGAGGAACCCCAGGGGGCACGCGACAGGCCCAATAATGTTTGGCACTGTGAGGCCAAGGCCCTTCATGGACTCCCCACGGGTGCTTGAAGGAATGCGCATTCCGACCGCGCCAACCTGCCGCCGCGCCCAACGGCGCGGTGGCGGATTGGCGGGGTCGGAATGGCATGCGCACGTTGCCCATTCGCCGTGCCCTCGCGTTGCAGGGGAGGGGGGTGGAGGACGCCGTGCCCGACGAGCCCGCGCAGGAGAAGAAGCGCATGAGGCCAGGGGGCTCTTGGAGGGCCCATGTGAGCACGGCGACTTCGGCTGCGGGAGGGATGAGAGGTTATGACATCAGAGCCCTGAGCGCCCAGTGCAGAGAGATCAAACAACGGGGCGGTGACGATTGGAACAGACTTGTATGTGATGGCAACCTCGCCACTGTCGCTGCCAGGGCTGGGCGCGCTGGCCCCAAGGCAGGGGCGTTCGGACTGAGCGAGAAGCAGCGCGCTGCCATGAGACTTCGGGCAACGCGGCAGGCGCAGGCCAATCGCGTGCAGTCGACGAGCGGCGACGTGGTGAGCCTTCTCCCAGGGGGCACTTCATTCATGGATGTATCTTGCCACGTGGCCGTTGCCAAGGAGTTGAGTTCGCAGAATCGGCAGCGGGTTGCCCAGCAGGAGAAGGATATTCAGGACACGCTTTCTGAGTTCGAGGTTGGCAGTGGCGCTGGTTTCGTGGAGGAGCTCCGCAGGCAAATACCTATATTGCGGCAGTCTGATATTGTTCCAGTGCCATGCGAGGGCCGTGGTCATTGCCACTTCGAGCGCCCCCCTTCAGAGCAGCATGCGAAAGTTGGCGTTGCGTGGGCGGAGGCGTTCAGCAAATGCAACTTAGGGCAGTACCTGGAGCAACAATGGTCGCAGAGACACCGCGCAATCATGAGGGACGATTGCGCTCCTGTCGATGCCCCAGCTGCGCTCCTCACTCCGTGCATGAAGGCTGGCATCTGCATTTGTCAAGGGGATGGGCTGCGCATGTGGAAGTTTCGGAATAAGTACTTGGTCCATCTCAAGGCCGCCTGCCCACCGCGATCTTCGATGCGAGCATTGCTGGTCGATGGCTTCATCGTGTGTCGGTTTGAGGGTTCGCCATTGGGGGGCGCCGAGGGACCCCCCGTGGAACTGTGGTTCCACGTCGCCGCGATGTACTTGAGCCCATTTCGGCCGACCTTCAGCAAATTGCAGAAGCCAGCTGCTCAGCCTGAGGATGAGCGGAAGATCAAGTTGAAGGCTCGCGGGATGTTCGTGTCTGCCATGCGTTTCTCCAGGTTAAATGCTTTTCCTGTGCGCCCCGACGCGTAGCCGCATAGCCGATGCATTTCCAGTGCGCGCGCCTCGCGTATTTCCCAGCCCCCGCCCCCCTTGGCATTGAGGTGTTTGTGTCTGGCAATGCAGAGGGTTGAGGGCAAACGGTTTCATAGGGGATCCCTCGGCGCCCCCCCAATATGCCGCAGGCTGTCGGCAGCTTCTACACAGAGATGCAGGCCTTCAGCGAAATGTCCTTGAACACCAAGTGGACAGTCGAGTTCTTCCAGATTTGCTCTACCAGCTTGGCTCTGCCGTATCTTTCGCCAGACATTGTATCAGTTGAGAGCGCCAGCCCTGTCTACCATGCCTGGCCGCCCTTGCGGGAGAAGAGGGGCACGAACGTGAAAGATACTTCTGCCCCTGATTGGTCTTCAGTTGCGTCGGGCTCACAGGCGCTGGCAGACGGCGACAGCTGCGACCCCGAGGAGGACCTCACCAAGGATGAGGGCGCTGAGGGAGGCGGCACGGGTGGCGAGGGCGTCGAGCCACGCAGCGACTTGGATGAGTTAATGGACATGTTTCTGGCCATGATCCCCGATGACGGGGCCGACGGAGCTGGCGGCGACACTGGTTATTCTTCTTCTTCTTCTGGCCCCAGTGGAGGCGATGGCGGCGGGGCTGCCAGTTCAGCGGCATCGGGTTCAGGAGAGCCGCCACCGCCGCCGCCCCCGCTGCCGCCGCCTGAGGAGCTGCCGCCGGCGGGAGCCGCTCCACTGCCGCCAGAGCTGGTTCCGCCACTTGCCGCTGGGCCTCCTGTGCGCGGCGGCCAGAGACCTGCCGAGGCAACTGTTCACGTGGGCACGGGGAAGATCAGCTACTATGAGTCGAAGAACTGTTTCGAGGCAGTCTGCTCCAAGCACGGGTGCGTCCTGACGCGAACCTCCAGGTTGAAGAGAGTTGCGGGTGGAGCGATGAAAGGAGGGAGGCCGTGCGGCTTCCTCGCGGCATGGCTGGTCGATGGCCACGGATGCCACAGGAAGGTCGAGCACACAGACAACGTGCGGCTCCGAGCCTTGGACCGCGACCAGAGATTGTTGGCGCGCAGCGGTCTTGAGGCCACTGACGCAGGGAGGAAGCTCCTCAGTTTTGAACGCGCCCTTGCTGATGGCGAGGAGAGCGAGTCTCTGGATTTGTCGGGGTACGTGCTGGGAGTTTAGCATGCGCCCCTTTCTGCTGGCAGATTTACCCTGCGAGCTGGCGAAGGGGGACGCATTGCGCATCGCCCCGAGATGTCACGCATCCTGGTGGCAAGCATGTGTTCTGTTCGCGCGTCGGCGCTGCGCCTGCACGCGCTGTCTGCCGACGCCGCTCTCAGGTTGCACCGAGCCAGCTAGCTGTAGTCAAATCATCCCCCCTCCCCTCCGTCCTTAAGAAGAGCCTATCGCCTCTCCCCTCCCCGCCCGCCCCCCCCCGAGTGGTCCGCGCCCTTGCGGCGCTCATCTGTCGCTGCGACCCACGGTAGCAATGATACCCCGAATGAGCGATCAAGTGCATCCAAAATGTAGACCATTAGATGACACCCGCTATCCAACCCGCTTAAACCATATGACTAGGTAGTGTCTAAGTTCGTGTATGGCCACGGTCCCTTAGGAAACAGCTCTTAGGACTAAATTGTTGGCGCTTCGCGAATCCCCACCAACCCATCCAGAAACGATGCCCCGAGGAATTGCCTCGACCAGGGAAGTGGGCAGCACGCAGAGGAAGGCAGTATGAGACGTCTTGGGGTATCTTGAGCCGTCTGGGAGGTCATCGTGGGCTCCCCCAGGCACTCTTGGAGTCATCTTAATCAGTGCCCCCCCCAAGAGGCCACCATGTGGCTAAAACCTTAGTCGCATCAATGATTGGGCATTCTCGCCGAGGCCTCTTGGAGCTTCTTGGGTGCCTCTGGGGGGTCTCTTGGGGCCTCTTGGGGGTCTCTTGGGAACCTCTTGGGGGCATCCTGAGGGCCTCTTGGGGCTGCCTGGCCACCTCGTGGGGCCCTCCTGGGACACCCCTGGGGGCCTTCGGGGCCATCGATGGGCCGTCTTGGGCGAGATCGATTACAGGACGGGGGGGGGTCTAATTGCAGTCCCCCCTCAGGGTGCCAACATGTGGCCAACGCCAACGTAAAGCAAATGATGTTGGCTTCCTCGCCGAGGCCGTTTTGGACGCTCAGGCGACTCGCGGGGCCCCCCGCCCAGGTCCAGTGGAGGGGGTAGGGGGAGGGGTAACGCCCTCCCCGAAGGGGAAGACGGGCATGTGGAAGAGGAAGCCCTCTAAACCACCGACGCCCAGAGGGCTGGTGGGATTCGCAGTTGTAGTCGGCAATGCATCGCCATCATTACGTCGCCGTTCGGGTCGAAAGTTTCCAGGGCAGCGGGCGCGCGCAGGCATTTCTCTCACCGCGCCCCGTTGGCCAATAATGTCTTGCGAAGTGAGTGGATGGCTGAACTTAGTGATGACGGACCCGAGCAAACCCATGGGCTATGAGAAGCGGCTTGATGTCGAACTCCCGTGCACGTTATTCATTATCGGAGGAAGCCCCACATCCGCAACTCCAGGACAGAATCAGAATCCCGAGATCCCTTCAGAGCCCGCCGAACCCGCTACAGTGATCCATCGTGCAAGGACACCAAAACATCGTAATCCTGAGCCTCATGCGGATAGTCATCCACGCTACCCAACAGATGGTGCAATCGACTCTGGCGGGCGGGCTCACGGAGCATCAGAGGAGCCGCGCAAGGGTGTCGCGTCAGAAGCCCCCGCCACGCTCGCGGCGAGCGAGGCAGATTCTGACGGGCGCCCTGCCGCCAGCAATCATGAAGGCCAGTCTCGTTTCACAAAGGGTCCGAGT